TTATTAGAGCTGTGAGGGACCATAAATCTTGTCTTTCTTTCTCTTTCTTTGCACCTTCCTCTGCTGACGCTCATAGGGACCCGGGAAGTAGCATTTGGGCTTTAAAATGGGAGAACCTCAGGGATAGGGGTGGGATTTCAGTGACGCTGATCGGCAAGCTATTCGTAATAAGAGTCTGTATTTATTAGTTGTTTGAGATTGTTTGTAAATTGGATATTTAAGTCAAGAACTTGAGTATGTATTGATGAATGTGTAGGCGAATGTGTAGGCTGTCACCTTGACGTGTAAAGTAATATGTGGTATTTCCAATCTGTCCCCTAACGTGGCTCAGAGTACTCACTTACCAGGGATTTGTATTTAGGGTCTTCAGTGAAACATGGATTGGTTGACTGGATTTTTTTCCCAGCTTGTAGAAACAGGTCTTTATAGAAGTAATTTGTAAGGGTTTTGTTTTTTTTTTCTCCTTTGGAAGTCTGAATTTGGGTTAAATCTGAATTCTGCCACTTACTCTAAGTAAGCTAACCTCTCTAAGCCTTGATTTCCCATCTGTAAAATGATGATGATCATACCTGCTCCTTAAGGGTTATTGTTAAGATTATTGTGAGCTAGAGAGAATGGAATGCTCATGATTTAAAATATTAAAATATTTAACTGGAGATATAGAGGCAGTTTAAAACCCTTTAAGAGATTAAAAAAACAGCTCTAGGTTATAAAAGTTCACAACACAGTAAACACGCTGAATCTCTGCAAATTTCTTTACTCAAAGAACATCAATTTACTTTGTCATGAACGTGCAAATTTCAAGGACTTTTAAGATTCTCTTTCCTGTGAGAAATGCATGAATAATTTTTGGCAGGTGAGTTTTATATTTACTTGTTTTTATTGAAACTAAGGAAGATATTTGGCCTCACGTGAAAGCTAAGTGATATAAATGCTTGGAAACTAATGCAATATGAGTGACTTGCTTAATGTAAAACCTGCTAAGCAGTCACTCTTCACTTGCTGTGAAATTATTTGCTTCTAGATTAGCCCCAGAAATAAGAATATAGTATTATGCAAGAATGTTTTTGCTTTAGTAAATGGAAGTTGTCAGAGATTTCACCTGGAATTTGCTTATTCTTGCCTTTAGTTTTGTTAGACCTTTGGCCTTGAAATGCTACTCTTTACTTGTATGAAATGGATTTATCATTATTTTCATTAGTATTGTATTACATTGATAACAAAGCTGTGTATGTACTCCTTAATTAACCAGCTGTAAACTTGGCTGAGGTCATGATGTGAATGGCACATGGAACCAAAGAGAGGATCCTTGTCGCCATTTTAAGATTTGAAAATTAGATGTGTTTACACCCCGGAAGGAAAAAAATCCAATCAAGCACCATCTGTGTGTCCTGAGTATTTGTTCCCTCACCTTCTGTAATTAAAACACTTGTGTTGGGGACTTCCCTGGTGGTCCAGTGGTTAAGAATCTGTCTTGCAATGCAGGGGACGCTGGTTCGATCCTTCATTGGGAACTAAAATTCCACATACTGTGGGATCTACTGAGTATGTAGAGCCCGCGTGCCGCAACTACTGAGCCTGCGTGCCACAACTGGAGAGCCCATGTGCCACAACTACAGAGCCCTTGTGCTCTGGAGCCCGCGTGCCACAACTAGAGAGAAGCCCATGTGCCACAACTAGAAAAAAGCCTGTGCATCGCAACAAAAGATCCCACATGCCGCAGCTAAGACCTGACACAGCCAAATAAATAAGTATTAAAAAAAAAAACCTTGTGCTGGCTGCTTGGCTGAACCAGGGGTATATTATTAAACTGGCTAATTTATTTGGTCTAAAATGTTCTTTAGGGAATCAGTGAGTGACTTTAAATGTTCTTACTGGGTCTGGGTCACCACATTCTCTGGGGTAAGCCAAGGAATGACAGTTCAGAAAATAAGTATTATGTATTATATGCCAACAAACCAACTTGTTGGAATCGGTTGTTAACTCGTTTGGGTTATGTTGGACAGCTTTTTTTTTTTTTTTTTAAGATGCATTTATTATTTATTTATTTATTTTAGGCTGTGTCGGGTCTTAGTTGTGGCATGTGGGATCTTTTATTGTTGCGATGTGCGGGCTCTTTGTTGTGGTGTGCGGGCGTCTCTCTAGTGGTGGTGTGTGGGTTTTCTCTTCTCTAGTTGTGGCGCACACGTTCCAGAGCGTGAGGGCTCTGTAGTTTGCGGCACGTGGGCTCTAGTAGAGGTGCAAGAGCTCAGTAGTTGTGGCACACGGGCTTTAGTTGCCCGGCGGCATGTGGGATCTTAATTCCCTGACCAGGGATCGAACCCACGTCCCCTGCATTGTAAGGTGATCCTGTTGGACAGCTTTGGCAGAGAGAGATTTAGTTATATCTTCTCCTGACTTTCTTCACTAGTTGAGCTATAAGCCTACCACTTCTAGAATGAGATTTAATGTGGTTATTGAACTTGATTCTTGCTGTGTATTCTTTTTAGCATTGATTCGTGTCTTCAGCGTGAAAGAGTAATCTCTTCGAGCTTTGCACTGACCTCTCAGAGGGCTACTGTGCCAGTTCTATTTTTGGCGAGGCAGGAAGGAATTTCTTCATACTTTCTAATGATACCAGGAGATACTGTGGTCTAGAAAAACAGAATTGCTAAACTTCATTTTGGGATTCCAAGTGCTTTGATGTTTTGGAAGTAACCACTAGATTTGGACTTAGACACCTGTGTTCACTTCAGTGAACACGTATTGAGTGTGTATCATGTGCCAAGTTCTTTGTCAGTCATCACCCTGAAGAAGGACAAAGTCTGATAGGGGCCAGCTTTACATGTAGTCAGAAACTAAGATATTGCAACCAACATTTATAATAACAGACAGATGCACAAGGCGTAGGTGCTGTGTAGATGATTATTTTTATTCAGGGTGAGGCAAGAGAGTTGGATTTTATGGAGGAGATGAAGACTGAGGATGGTTCAGGTAGATAAAGTTGGGCTTTAAAAAAAAAAAACAAAATCAGGTTTTTTGGGCATTCCAGGAAGAGAGAATGTAATTGTGGGAGGCATGATACGGCATGTATTAGGCAGCTTGGCACTGCAGGAATATAAATCACGAAGGGAGTAATGGTGGGAGATAAAGATAGAAAGGGATTCAGGGCTTGTATCTTGCAGGGTCTGACATACTGTAGTTTGGGGCTTTGAGTTTTTTCTGATGTGTAGTAATCAGCTTAAAGCAATTGACAAGATCTAAACCAGGAGAATGAAAGGATGGAATTTAGTTAGCTCCCTCTGATAGCGATCTGGGCTTTGGATTGGAGAGGAGTAAAATTAGAGGTAGGAGTACTAGTTAAGAAGGTTTAAAGAAGTTCCAGAATGAGTTTTAATTTAGTAAATTTGTTTAAAATGATGACATAATGAACGAAAGAATGACAAGGAGTTAAGGAAAGAGGAAATATCAGAGGGGCAGACTGTGTAATTGAGAGGACCTAGAGATTGATTGGTTATAAAAAGATGAGTAGGAGAGAATCATCTGGGTTTGGGGCTTGGGTTACTGATGTAGTCACCAAAAAGGACAATAAAGAATAAAGAACTGGATTTGAAGTGTTGGGAAAGAGGAGTTCAGTTTTGAGTGTGTTGAGGTTGAGGTACCAGTGAAGTATCTAGGTGGAGGTGGCCGGGAGGTAAGTAGATATAAAAATATGACATGCAGTGGAGAGGCTGAGAGGAAAACCATAGACTTAGCAATCACCAGTGTGTAAGTGATGGTTGATGAAGGGAGAACACAGGGAGTGAGACATGAAGAGAAGAAACCGGTAGTGGAATTCTGGGGGAACATGTCAATGTTGAAAGGCATTCTGAGGTAGCAGATACTGGGAATGAATAGGAAAAGTAGTAGGTTAGAAAGAAGGCATAGGGACTGAGAGAAGAAAGAACTTCATGAAGGAGTAGGTGTCAGTAATATCCAAAGCCAGGAGCCACGTGAGATCCTGATTGGCTTTGGAAGTTAGAAGGTCACTTGGCCTAGAGAAGTTTGGGACAGAGGAGCATTTCTATTGGAACAGTAATTTGTAACCTACCTTCGCTGCTTACTTATTCTGTGACTTGGGAAAGCCGTTTTGTCTTTGGCTCTTTGTAAAGAGGTGGTTGGCCTCTTAGCGGGTTTCATTCTGTGATTGGTGGGGCTCCGTGGGTTCAGAGAAGGCACTTTGAGGCTCATCAAGGAGATCAAGGGTTAGGTCAGATATTCGTTGGGGGAGAAGGTGCAGATAGTCTATTCCTGATTCAAACAGAGCGGCTGGAGCAGCTTGAATTTTTATCTATTTGACTTTAGTATCAGATTTTATTTGAAAAAACATAGTGCGGTATAAGAAACTTGAAAACTACTGGCCTACAGAAGCCATAGTTAACCTTCAAGCATTAAAAGAGATAGAATAAATAGCTGGTGATCAAAATTCCTCTACTAGGGCTTCCCTGGTGGCGCAGTGGTTGAGAGTCCGCCCACTGATGCAGGGGACACGGGTTCGTGCCCTGGTCCAGGAAGATCCCACATGCCGTGGAGCAGCTGGGCCCGTGAGCCATGGCCGCTGAGCCTGCGCGTCCGGAGCCTGTGCTCCGCAACGGGAGAGACCACAACAGTGAGAGGCCCGCGTACCGCAAAAAAAAAAAAAAAAACAATTCCTCTACTAGATGAAGATTATGATAGATGCTGACTTGCTTCATGACATAGATTTTATTCAGAGGTCAACATTAGTGTTCGAGTTTCTGTAATAATAATTATTCTTATTTTCATTAGGAATGAAAACTAAACTTCTGAATAACTGAATTCTAGGGACTTCCCTGGTGGTCCACTGGTTAAGACTCTGTGCTTCCACTGCAGGGGGCCCGGGTTCGATCCTGGGTTGGGGAGCTGCATGCCGCATGGCGTGGCCAAAAAAAAAACAAATTATGAGCTGAACAACCGAATTCTATTTTACACTGTGTTCAAAAACGTTTTATGTGTCTTACCAGGTTCTGACTCAGAAGATCTTTTGGAAGAATTGCTGTGCTGTTTGATGCAGTTAATCACTGATATTCCACTCTTGTAAGTTCTGGCTAAGCCAGGATTAGTTTTATCTTCTTTGTATATTGAAGATGGTAATTGATCATGTTGAAGAGTTTGTGGGTTGTGGTGTAGTACTTTCACGTATGCTTTTTATGTATGCCTCCGTGTACATCCATGGGCTTCTTCTATCTCTCTTGCCTAATATTTAGACTCTGACGACCTGTCATCAACACAAGAATTGTATGTTGTTGAGGGGAAAATAAGCTCTTTAGCAATACTGAGCGTATGATGGGCACAGAATTAATCTCTGTAAACAAGGGTTTGAGAGGGAAACAGTTAAATCTAGTATATATGTGGTAGATGCAGCTAGTTTTCCACCCGTTATTTGTTCTCCCCTTCTTCCTTGCTTCCTGATTTTATTGCTATATCTGGCCTTTTTTGGAGAGGTCAGATTTCCATTTGTAGCCTTTCTTGAAGCTATGTGTGGTCAGTGAGATGTGGGGGGGAAGTCCTCAAATGAAACTTATGGGTGCAGCTCTTTAAAGGGACCTGACTCATCTAGGAGGCATACGTATATTTTTGCTTGTGAGAGCCCACTTCCCTGCTTTCTGGAATGTGGACAGGGTCTCTTTAGAGTTGTGTTGAACATCTTGGCACCAAGAGCTAAGAGACTCAGAGAAAATTCTGCTTTGATGTCATTGAGCTGCTGAACCAAAGTCATCAACTACTACACCTCCTCCCCCTACCCCATACCCCACCCTTGGAATTCTCATGTGAGAAAACTAGACCCTTATTTGTTTACACTGTTACAACTTGATTTCTGTCACTACAGCTGAATGCAGTCTCTGTGTGATTCAAAATGTCTGTTACTTTTAAAGCAGTTACTCTCAACCTTTTTTTCTTAATTGCCTCTCTGAAGTCCTAATGAAATTTGAATACTCCAGATACACTGAATATCTGTGTATTGTGCTATGGCCTTTTTGAGGGCCACACATCATTATAATATCTATGAAGTTTTTCACCTCTTAAGAACCAATTTTCACCCTCTTGAGGGTGATCTCGACCCCCCCATCGAGAATGCATATTTTATTTTATTTATTTTTTAATTTTTGGCCACACTGCACAGCATGCGGGATCTGAGTTCCCCGACCACGGATCAAACCCATGCCCCTTGCAGCGGAAGCTTGGAGTCCTAACCACTGGACCACCAGGGAATTCCCAAGAATGCATATTTTAAAGGAATTATTTTTTGAAATAAAAAAGTAGATTTTTAAGATTTATCATCACAGAATCTCAGTCTATGTGGGGATATCGTTGGAAATGTGCCACTTGCCTGTGGCCCAAAAAGGAAAGACAGGTATTTGTGAGAAAACAGGCTCCTGGCCTCTGTTGTGCACAAGTGCAGCATCCAAAATTGTAATATAGATTTAGGAATGAGAGCCACCAAAGCCTGTTGTGACTTGGTCTGGTGACGTGCAGCCTGGAAGGTAGGGCTGAGACAACTGAGGAATCACTGACAGGGACGGGCACGGGAAAAATGTCCCAGGCAAGTTGAACTCTTGTGACAGACACAGCTCTTTGCATGCCTGGTATCCTTTCTCCCCTTCCTCTCCAATATTGTTGGGGGCAGGGTGTGCCCAGCTTAGTTTTCAGGCACTTTGGGAACTAAATATGGCTCTGTGACACAGTTTGAGCCAATTACACGTAAGCAGAAGTCATGAACTTGCAGAGCACGTACCTTCAGCCCGTTGCCCTTGGCCCTTCTCTTCCTTCCTGGATGTGGAGGCAGTGTTTGGGACATGTTGAAACTATGAAGATGGGCGCCACACACGAAGAACAGTGTCCCAGCAGTGTGGGATACTGATAAAGTTATAGAACCATTACACCAACCCTAGATGGCTTATCTTTGGATTTCTCCTTATGTGAAAAGAGCAAACAGTTATTTTGGTTAAGCCACTGTGGCTATTAGCTTTCTGTTACTTATGGTCAGATGTGGGAAGGGGAACACATATATTGCCTGCTATTTGCATATCGCAGTATGTGTGGTGCTTCATGTGTTCCTGATTTAATTTTAAAAGTAGCACTACCTCTATTACATTTGTTGTTGCCAAATACCAGCAATTTTGTATATATCCTGAATGAGTGAGTGCCTTTTGTTGTTGTTGTTGTTGATAAAATGTCATGGTAAAGTTAAGGGGGATGGAAATGATAAATCCCTTTAGATAGTAAATAAGCTGTGAATACAATAAGTAGACCAGCCACTTAAACACTCTTGGGGAGGAAGCAGTGTTGTAATAAATCAAACATTTTAGTGTTTTATGTGTTTATACTTTTTAAATGAACTGAAAATGCACAGACAACCAGATGTCTTGTATTACGTACACTCAGCTTTAACCAGCTGCTGAAACAATTTCTTATGATTTAATGTTCTTGGAACTCCATCCTACAAAAAGGTTTGTCTTGGTAACAGTTTCCATGTGAAACCAACCTACTCTTTAAATGTTTCATCTACTATAACCATAGTGCAGTGTTACCAATCAGCTTATAATTTAAGGAGGAATGTTAACCTGTGAAAACTGAGGATGGTCTAGACACACCTGACTATCATCAGTCTGGCTATAAACGTTGAAGTTTAACGTTGGCGTGCCAGTGCTACATTAGCGGGTGAACAGCAAGAGGAGGCTAATTTTAATCGCCATCGTGGGTAATGCGAAACTAGCTTAAACGTTTTGTTTGAGACTATGAAATCACTCTATTAATATTGAAAGCAAATGATTACCAAGAACAGAGGCAGATAGACATTTAGAAATCTATACATTTTAACTGATACTTCATCATTAAGAGAGCAGGATCAACTGTGGAAGCTTAAACTCCCAGAATTTGTAGGAATTCATTTGTAATGAAAATGGACCTTTAAGTAGTAAGTGGATACTGCTTCTCAGTTTGGATTTCTTGATAAAATATTAATTCTCTGAGGTGTTAGTCTTCAAAGATTCAAATTACACACCTTCCAGGAATCCTTCCTTAACACCACACCTCTCAGCGTTTATATATGTATTTAAAAGAAAGATTAAGTCAGGCACCGTCTTGTGACTTGACATTTTTTAGTGTATATTGGGTTGATCCAGTAGAATTGAAATGTCTTCCAAAAGTAAAACCTTGTCTTTAATTGTTATACCTTCTTGATCTCAAGGAGTTGAATGAGAGAGGAATAAGGTACGATAAAGGTATGTCCCTCAAGACACTAATGGAGAGTGTAATGGAACATGGTCGGCAGGCCAGGGTTGAAAGCACACGCTTAGAATTTGTGACACTAGTTTGCTTCTTTCAGTGTTACCGTGAGGGTTGAATGAGACCCCGTGATTCTTCCCAGTGATGGAGTTTAGGTGGGGCCCTAGCAGCATAAGCAGCTTGTATGGGCCTAATACTTACATTTTGAGGACTGCTTATGATGCTTTTTTATTATGAAATAGAGTTTATTTTGAGAACTTGAACTGGATGTCTTTCCTTGTCTTTTTGTCTCTGTTCGTTGCTATTGTTTTTGTCAAAGCTATCACTCTTAGCTGTTTACAATGATGCCATTGTCAAGGACAGGCCCTACTCCTTGCCTCTGTGCCCTCACTCTGGACACGTCGTGAGAGGCCTGCTTAGAGTGGGCCTTTCTGTGGGCTCCAGCCCCTTCCTCTGAGATCCATTTATGTGTCTTCTCCTTTATCAACCTGTGAACTCAGTAAGGAGGATTGGGACGGCTTAATTCTCAGCCTGGCCCTGATGGGCAGATTTTTTAATTCTGTAATTTAAGAAACTTTAGTTTTTTCATGTTATATATTGATAAAGATACCATATTCAAACTGGATTGCCTTCACCGCCTTTTCCAGGAGTGTGTGTATGTCTGTGTAGTGGGACTTTGCTGCTTCAGTGCAGGGGTATCTGATGTCATCTGCTGACCTTGTCCATGTTACTCATTCTGCTTCAATAATGCTGGTGTCCTTGCTAATTTGGAACATGCCAACCCACTGCTGTCTTCAAGGCCTTCGACCTTCCTTCTGCTGCCTTGCATATCTCTCTTCAGACATCTGCATGGCTCTTGTCCTGACCTCCTTCAAGCTTCCTTCTGCTCAAAGTTCTGCTTCTTAGAAACAGCCGCTCTGACTACCGTAAAATAGCACGCTTCTCATTTTCTGTCCATTTAAAAAATATATATTTATTTATTTATTTGGCTGTGCCTGGTCTTAGTTGCAGCATGCGGGATCCTTAGTTGCAGCATGTGGGATCTAGTTCCCTGACCAGGGAATGAACCTGGGCCCCTGCATTGGGAGTGTGGAGTCCTAGCCTTTGGACCACCAGGGAAGTCCCTTTCTGTCCTTTTATCATGCTTTATTTTTTTGTCCTAATACTTATCACTGCTTTTAATTAATTAATTTATTCATTTTTGGCTGCATTGGGTCTTCGTTGCTATGCGCGGGCTTTCTCTAGTTGCAGCAAGCAGGGGCTGCTCTTCGTTGCGGTGCACGGGCTTCTCATTGCGGTGGCTTCTCTTGTTGTGGAGCTCGGGCTCTAGGCGCGTGGGCTTCAGTAGTTGCAGTAGTCGGGCTCAGTAGTTGTGGCTTGTGGGCTCTAGAGTGCAGGCTCAGTAGTTGTGGTGCATGGGCTTAGTTGCTCTGTGGCATGTGGGATCTTCCCGGACCAGGGCTCGAACCCGTGTCCCCTGCACTGGCAGGCAGATTCTTAACCACTGTGCCACTAGGGAAGCTCGTATCACTGCTTTTCATGTTACCTGTTATTTCTGAAAGAAATTGGAATGAAAGCTACATGAAAACAAGGGCTCTTCCTGCGTTAACATTTGTTTTGCTCACTGCCGTCCCCTTAGTACTCAGGTTAGCCTGGCAAGTGGAAGACTCAAAAAATATTTGTTGAATGAGTAAATCCGTGGAAGCACAAACTATTCAATGTGCTTAAATATTTTGTTTGTTTCTCATCATCTGGTCTATATGGAAACACAGTAGTGTGCTAAGGCATATTCCATTGTGGATATAGTG